CAACCTTCGGAACGCTCAAAACAACATCACAACACCAAATTCGCATCGGATTCAAGCCTAAGAATTTTAAAATCTTCTAAATTATTCTTTTGATCAAAAACCCAACCAAACCACGTCCGAATGACATGAAATTTTGCACACACATCCCAAATGACACAACGGAACTACTGCAACTCTCAGAATTCTATTCCGACCCCTATATCAAAATCTCACCTATCAACCGGAAAACGCCAAAATATCAACTTCGCCAATTCAAGCCTAAATCTACTACGAACCTCCAAAACTCCTTCTGATCACGCTCCTAAGTCATAAATCTCCTCCCAAAGCTAACTGAACCATCGAAACTCACATCCGAGCCCTCTAACACATAAGTCAACATCCGGTTGACTTTTCCAACTTAAGCTTCCTTAAAAGAGACTAAGTATCTCAAACCTTACCAAAATCATTTCTGAATGACTTCAAATTTTGCACACAAGTCACATTCGATATTATGGACCTACTCCATCTTTCAAAATCGGAATCCGACCCCGATATCAAAAAGTCAACTCTCGGTCAAACTTCTCAAAAACCTTCAAATTTCTAACTTTCGCCAAAATGCGTCAAATTGTCCTACGGACTTCCAAATCCAAATCCAAACATGATCCTAAGCCCAAAACACCATACGAAACTATTGGAATCATCAAAATTCCATTCCGGGGTGGTTTGCTCAAACGTCAAATCTCCAGTCAAACTTAAGAAATCTTTAGCCTTAGATTTCTAGATTCCGTTAAATGGCGATAATTTGAGCTAGGAACCTCCGAATTCGATTTCGGGCATATTACCAAGTCCCAAATCATGATACGGAACTACCGGAATGGTCAGAACTTGGATCCGCGTTCATTTTCTCAAAATATTGACCAAAGTCAACTTAGTTGAGTATTAAAGCTCTAATTCACAATTTAATCCATTTTTCACATAAAAACCTTACGAAAAATTATATGGACTGCGCACGCAAATCGAGGAATTATTGATACCGCTTTTCAAGGTCTTAAAATACCAAGATAGTTATTTATTTAAATGTGACATTTTGGGTTATCACATTCCCCACCTCTAAAACAAACGTTCATCCTCGAACGTACTAAGAATTATTCTCAGGTTGCCAAATTGACGATTTTACTTTTACACAAATATTCGTGGTTGATCCCACATTACCGCATTCAACATAAGTCTGATAATACCATTTCAATTGAGATTATTTTCTTTATCCATATTTGTAAACTTGAAGACCAAATTTCTTACACTCCAATCATTTCCAGAAAGGTCCGATTTTTACGTTAACACATGATATTAGTCTCGACTAGCTATAGAAACTCATGCCTACGCACCCATCAAATATGGGGTATTACATTCTCACCTACTTAGGGTCATTCATCCTCAAATGAGAAGTAGAGTCTGTCCTCAAACACATAATGTAACTTATCTCTTTCTTTACACATCTCAATATCCCAAATTTTTCTAACTCCAAATTTATTTATTTTTTTTATTTTTTTTTTCCAGAAATTTCTGCAAAGTCTCCCCTGTAATTGGGCATATCCACCTGTCAGAGTAACACCAAAACAACTCCTAACAACATGTCCACAACCCAGCAAAGCACCACAAAGTATATATCAATAACACTAATCTTCGCATTACAAGCACGACATTATTACAATGATATTCATACAATTTTTTTTCACCACAAGGACCTCGTCCTTATATAACATCTACCGTAGCTTGTAGCCCGGTTTAAATATTTCACATTATATAAAATACGAGGATCTTGTCCTCAACTCTGTACCACAAGTAATATGCACATCGTGCCAAATTGGAACATTCCATTTTCTTCTTTTGAATAATTTTCCGTTTAACAAAATCACAACACATAATGATAGACATAGCTATCTCCATCGAATCTCCCAATAGGAGTATTCACATAAGCAGATTTCAGAATTACGAAGCTCACTCATAAGTGGAGCACAATAGGAGGACTTGCCTCGATACTCAAAACCGAATCAAGTTAACAAAATTGTTACTTTATAATAACTCGAGACCGTACTTGTAACGACACCATATGGTGTTGCGACCTCAGCAATACCACAGAAAATATATCAATGGCTCGGTCTCCACCTCTAGGAGTCTCACCTCCACCTCTAACATCCTAACCCCTACCTCTGGTTGGTCATGTAAGTGGAGTAGTAACTGTAATGGGGCAGGTAGCCTCAGTGCTTTTACAAAATATGTTTCTCCCAAGTCTAGGACAATTTTCTCATGATGTGCCTAGTACCACTACATTCATAACAATCCCTTTGAGGGTTCAGCTGCTCATATTGAGTCTATGCTAGATAACTAAAATAACCATTATATGAACCTCGTGTCGGTAGTGCATTAAAAGAACTTACTGGAGCACCCCGAGTAATCAGATATATTGACTAGGCTTATCAGTTGCCCAAGCCCATATCATAATGATTTGTAGTTTTACAGTAGAATCTGTTGAATCCTTTAAAACCTCGAAATCTCTTGGTCTTCTTAGCTTTCTTTTTTTTTATCCAGAACACATTCTAACATTTGGCAATTTCTTCCACTAGCCGAAATGAAGCATCAACCTGTAGCTTCTCGGGTTTTACTAAATTGCAAGATCACAATTTAGTCCTCTAATGAGTCTGTGGACTCGATCTCTGGCTTAGGAACCAAAGTAGGAGTATGACGGCTAACTTATTGAATCTGATGACATATTCTGACACTGTCATAGTGACCTGTCACAATCGTCCAGACCACATATTACATGAATCTGGGAGACAAACTCCTTCAAAAACATTTATGAGAACTGAGCTGAGTAGGTGGTGTTGCATTGGCTAGTCTGCCCTCTTCATAGTCTTGCCACAAACACAGGTGGCTAATTTCTTCTTTTGCTATGTTGACTCAACACTACTGAGCTATCATATTTATTCTTATACTCTTCGATTCTTATTTGGGGTAACTCTTTACCGCAATTATATACAACTATCACAAAAGTATAGCTCCATCAAGATAAATCTTGGCACGAACTACATAGTCTAGAAGATCGTCAACCACTGTACTTCCTTTGAAGCACCCAAAATCTACAACCTTGACTTCCACACTAAGAAGACCTTCTATAAATTTATAGTTGTTTTTTTTAACTCCTTTGATACTGAAGTATTGGATAATTAAAGAGGCAGACATACTGCAAGTCCCAACCTTATCCCATGCATGTCTCAGGCCTTAATTATGCGTAAATTATTGGGGAGCCTTTCAGTACCATATATATATATATATATATATATATATATATATATATATATA